TGGAGACCAAGTAGATTAAGAGACTAATACTAACTGAAATGATATCAACTTTCAAACCGGTGCTGTGTCTTCTCTAGTGCTGTCTCTTTTAACAGAATCAGGGTTAGAGATAGGGCTCAGCACTTCAAAGCACTGCTGCTCTTCCAGAGGATGGGGATTCCCAGCACCCACTGGGTTCCTCACAACTGTCTGTAATTCCAGTTCCAAGGGATCTGATGCCCTCTTCTGGCCTCAGTGGGGACCAAGCACACAAATGACACACAGAAATACATGAAAGCAAAACACCCATACATATAAAGTAAAAAAAAAAGATTTTCAAAAATAATAAAATAGAATCATAAAATCTTAACCAGATAACATAATGCAATTGGAATAAAAGTAAACAGAACTCCAACATGTACTCCCCTTTTGAGACCTTTAACTCCAGAAGCAAGTAGATCTGTGTTTGTGCTCCAGGACAGCCAGGACTACCTAAAAACCCTGTCTTAAAACCTAAATTCACCACAGGTGGTGCTGGCACATGCCTTTAATCCCAGCACTCAGGAGACAGAGCCAGGTGGATCTTCGTGAGTTCAAGGCCAGCCTGGTCTACAGAGTGAGTTCCAGGACAGCTGGACTATTTCACAGAGAAACCCTTGTCTCGAGGAAAAAAAAAAAAACTAAATTCACACAACTTTAATCCCAGCAATCGGGAGGCAGAGGCAGGTAGATCTCTGAGTTCTGAGGTCTACATAGAGTTCCAGGACAGCCAGAGCTACAGAGAAACCCTGTCTTTTTTTTTTTTTGTTTTTTTTTTGTTTTTCGAGACAGGGTTTCTCTGTGTAGCTTTGCGCCTTTCCTGGAACTCACTCTGTAGTCCAGGCTGGCCTCGAACTCACAGAGATCCACCTGCCTCTGCCTCCCGAGTGCTGGGATTAAAGGCGTGCGCCACCACCGCCCGGCTGAGAAACCCTGTCTTTAAAACCCAAAATAAATAAATAACTAAATAGCTTCAGCTGGTGTCCTTCACATGGTGTGCTTGAAGGTAAAGCTTATGATGTAAGCAAAAAAGGGAGGTTCATGCTGAAAAGAGAGAAAAAAAAATGCCTGAAAGGAACATAATATACTTAAAAAGTATCCTCAAAAGTAGACAGTGATGTTTAAGAAAGATGTTAACGAGATAGTAACTGCGGTGGTATCCAAACATTGCAGGAGAAAACAAACTCATGAAGGATTATGAAAATGACTTGAAAATGGAGACTGAGATTAAGAGAAACAAAAAGACTCTTCTCGAACAGCATGGACAGTCTCAGTGTGGATGAACCAGAGGCAGAGAAAAAGACTGAAGTCAAAATGAGAGGAAATACTGAGGGAAAAAGGAAACAAAGCAGACCCTTCAAAACTGGAAAGTGCTGCGTGGGACAGAAGTTTGGTTGGAACGTCTGCACTGATTTAAGCTCTAACTAAACGAAAGTCATTTGTTTTCATACTTTAAATCGGATTTATTTCAGTAATTCAAAAACCAAAATAACTCAACTGTTTTGGGAGCTTGAATAAAATACATTCGAAATAATTTTTTATAAGTAAAAAAATTTACTCCCCTCAATCAAGAAGTACTAATTTTTACTTTGGTCTACTCTGATTAGACTCCCATCCATTTTTAATATTTGCTGATTTTTGTTTGTTTGTTTCAAGGCAGAGTTTCTCTGTGTAACAGCTCTAGCTGTCCTGGAACTCACTCTGTAGACCAGGCTGCCCTCGAACTCAGATTCGCCTGCCTCTGCCTCCTGAGTGCAGGAATTAGAAGCAAGGCATGCACTAGAGCGCCAGGCAATACTTTCTAATTTTACAATAGCACTTTCTGGAACTCCCAAGAGTTCTCAAACTTCAATAAAGTATATGAAAAGCTAAAACAAAACGCCTGATCAGAGAAAAACTGAATGTTAGCTGAGCGACTTAAACACTACTCAAAATCCTGAAACACGGTGAAGCAGATGGAAACAATAATAACTAAGAGTTCTGCAATTCTTATATTGGTACAGTCGTAGAAAAGCAGTCATACACAAAGCCTGGCAGCAACCATGCTACAATGTAGAAACCATACCAAGTCTTGGACTAAACATGGAACAAGGAGTAAATTAAATACTGTCTTAAGATTTAATACTGAAGTGGCTGCATAAGCATAAGAAAATAGGTCTCTATAATGTCCTCCACAATTTATTATCCATAAATTTGTAGTAACTCCAAATGCGATGCAAACAAGGCCTCATATACAGGCCTCTTGCCTTTTTTCTAACACAACTGAGACCTTTGTTCCTAGCATCAGTTTTTTTTTTACCGTACTCAATAATAGCTCTTTCAACTTTTCTACCACGTATTTTTGTTTTGTTTTTAAGAGATGAGATTCTAAGCCTCAACTTGCCGAGTCTTTTTAAAAAATTTTAATGGCAAAAGTATCTAAGAGGCAAGAGAAAGTTAAAAGACACCACTACAGGGCCTACAAACCGAAGATTGCCTGGAGATCGGGTGATTTGGCAGCGCAGGCCAGACCGCGAGCTCAGACTAGGGAGACAGGAGAGCGGTTAGACCACTCGGAACAGAGTCACTGCGCTATCAACCGCCCCCCCACCCCCACCCCACCCCCACGTTTACCTAGTAACATTCCCGCCCCCAATTAACGGAGCGAGGACGCTAAAAGCCAGCACCCCGCCAAGAGGCTACAGCTAAAACCTCTCCCAGACAAAATAAAACGCAGTAACAGAAACAAATCCGCTGGACGGGTGGGAAGCCGCCCCTTGCCCTTTTCCTCTCACCTCAGAGGTAATCAATTCCCTCCCATCCACCTAGAGTAGTGTGTAATTTAGCCGCCCCCACCCCCACCTGCATTTTCTTTTTCTTTTTTTTTTAAATTCTAGCAGTGTTTCTCCGTTCTAACTAATTGAGGCTTTCTGTTATTCCGAGGAAGAGAAAGACACAGGCTGGGTCTTAAAACCTTCGTTTTCAGGACATCCCTGTAACTTGTTTCCCTACAAGAAACCCACTCGCGAATCACAAGGAAGAGCTGAACTGACGGACAAACCGTGTAATAGGTTTTATGTAATCCACATATATTAATCGCCTGACTCGCTTTGAATGTTAATACGATTGGGGTGACAATTGGCCCACCTCCCTCACCCAAGCCCCAGTTAACCTCTGCGTCCTACTCCCCTGCTGGTCTTCTCAGAGGATGCTGCTCCCTCAGCCAAGTTTCTCGGCCTCTACCGCGGCCCCTGCCAGCCCGGCAGGCACGTCGTCGTCCTCCTTCAGCCTCGACTTCCCCGGCTGGAAAAGCCTCCCCACGCCAGCTCGGCCCGCCTCGCCCGCCCCCAACCGTCCCCCTCAGCAGGAAGACCCTCACCGCGGTCCGAAGTCACGCCCGCCTCTCTCTCCTCAGACCCTTGCCTCACAACAGTTGTCACTCGAGCTGCTCCCTAGTTTCCATTTCCGGGCCGTCCACAGCCCAGAGCCTCCCTTTCCCTGTTTCCGGGCCCCCCGTCCCATTTCCGGGGAACCCTTGCCGTCTTCACGCCCCCCACCTGCACTTCCGGCCCCCCACTTTCTCTCTTCCTAGACGCCCTCCAGGTTCCAAAGACCACTTCCGGTCCCCTCCCGGCCCCCGCTGGGCTCCCCCAAACCCGCACGCCCTACCCAGGTTCCGCCTAGGGCCTTCCTCATCGCAGGAGGCCTGAGCGGGGACCCAGCGCACCCCCCCCAAGCCGGGCGGCCCCGGCTCCTCAGGCCGCGGGCTCGCTCGAGCGCCTCACCCGTCAGCCTCGGGCTGGTCCTTCCGCGGCCCCGCCGCCGCCAGCAAGTCGAGCCGAGAGCCGCGTCGCCAACGATGACACCAGCGGGCTGCTTGGGACTTTCGGCTCAGGCTTCCCAGCCCTCCTCAGCCCCCTCCGCCAAGGCCCAACCCCGCCGCTCAGAACGGCGTCCCAATTACCTAGTTAGGCCCCAAAGTCTCCGGTCCGGACTCGGTGGCGCGACGGCAACTTCCACTGGCTCCCCCCACCCCCCCCCAGCGGCGGCGGCGGCGGCTTGTCGTCCCTTCAATTATCAGCTGAGCCGCAGCACCGCGCGGCCGTGCGCCTCCGCCCGCGCCGCCTCCCTCCCCGCCTGCTCCACTCCAGCCCGGGACTACTTTGCCCTAAGGCTCCGGCCTGCGGGATCTTCCGCAGGACCAGCCCCGCTACCTATTTACAGCCCAACACATCGCCCCTCCCTCCCCAGCGCTCTAACTCTGGTCGGCGAGCAGCCTCCAGTCTCCTTCCGATCCCTTCAAGGGACCAGGAAGGGGACTGTGGCGCTCTACTTGGTATCCCTCCGCTGGGGTCACCCCCGCCCCTCCGCGCTAGCAGGAACTAAATTCCACTTCGGGTCACCCAGGACCTGATTGTAGAAATTTCACAAAGCAGCCTTCCTTGTGTCCCCTGGTAAAGAAAATCACCACCCCAAGTTAAAACCCCCACTGCCAACTCAAAAGCGGGCTTCGCTTTAAACTGGGATTGCGGCCCCCTGACCCCTGTCAAGCCCCGCCCCTTCCTGGTTGTCTTAGCGACGGCGGTGGCGTCCCAAGATGGCGTCGTGGCTGCCGGAGACTCTGTTTGAAATTGTAGGACAAGGCCCGGCGCCGAGCAAAGACTATTACCAGTTGTTGATCACCCGGTCTCAGGCAAGTGCGAGCCGCGGGTTCCTGTCTCTCCTGACCCCTTTCCCCGCCCGGCTGGGACCCGTGATGCGGGCCGCTCCAGGCAAACAGCCACCGTGGCCTGCCGGAAGCGCCGCGTCTCAGCTCACAGCGAGAGATCTCCCCTGGTCACTTCTGCTCGGCGGCCCGAGAGTCGGTTCTCTCCCCGAGGCCGGCTCGACACTGGCGAGCCTTCCTTGCCTCCCCCCACTGCCGGCCGCTTCCCTTCCTACCTCCCGGCTTCCTACCCGCTGCATTCCCTCCGCGCGCCAGAGGAAAAACAGGCGTCCCTGCTTGCGTGCCGCCTCACCTCAGCGTGGGAAGGAGGGAAAGAAAGACTCAGCCAAGTGTCCCAAGGAGGAGCCGGCAGGGGGAGAAAGGGACGGTCTCTTCCAGGGTAGGACTTAATCCTGGGGGATTTTTTTTTTTTTTTCTAAAGAACCTCGAGGTGGCCTTTACTATTACCACATCAGAATTCCTCTTTCTAACAGGAATGGCTGACTGAAAGGTCTTCCCTTACCTTGCTGGAGCCTCTATCCCTTTGAAAGTGGAGGGGGTGCAACAAAAATGTTTCAGCTGCTCTGCTCATCAGCCCCACCCATAATGACATCTGCTCCACAACAATAAGAACGAGGATTATGTTATCGCTGGAGTAAAGTAACCCCGGGGGCCTTTTTTTTTTTTTTTTTCTAAGTGTTCTGGTTGTCAGGGGTGGACTTTGGATAATGTAATGAAATGCTCTGGTTGAGCTGGGCCCACACTGAGAACACTGCAGACTGCAGATTCCTGACCGAGCTTATCCCAGTCATTAAGCTATTCACGCACTCCAAGTTTTAATAGGACATATTCCGACAAAATTAAGTTTAAAACCTTATGTTTGTTTGGGTCTGGGTGTTGATTATCCCATCTGTTTTTTTCCAGGAGCTCTCAAACAAAAGAGTAATGAAGTAATGTTTCTTTTACCTGTAAAACAGTAATGATGTGTGCGTTTACTTTTTATGTAAGACCTAATAATACTGCAATGTAATAGCCTGTCAGCTTTTATTTTTTTTAATTTCTTAAGAATTTGACAATTAAGATTTTTGAAGGTATTGTTTGGCTTTGTATGTGAAGTGGGTTGTGGTTTGGTTTCTTTGTTTTTGGTTTGAGACAGGGTCTCACTATGTAGCCCCGGATGGCCTGGAACTCAATATGTAGACCAAGCTGGCCCTGAACTTAGAGAAATACACCTACCTGCCTCTGCCTCCTGAATTAGGCATTACAACCACCTTGAGAGGTGAAAGTTTTGTTGGGTGGTTTGGTTTGTTTGGTGTTTTGTTTGGTTTGTTTTGGGTCAATTTTTTTTCCTTTTCTCTTTGGCTCTGTGAGGAGTAGAACCCAGGGCCTTCTGCTTGCTAGACAATTTTACTACTGAGCCAGATTCTCCCACCCCTATTAGCTTTAAGATCTTCAGTCCTAATAATTCTTCACTCTTTGTATGACTGACCTAAGACATAGTAAGTAGTCTTTTGGAATTCTGTTTTCCCATCTATTGCAAGTAAGTTCCAATGTTAATTTGACTTTTACTTTACAGTATTTACTGTATCTTTAAAACTGTTCTTTTGAACACTTTCTCCTTGAAGGTCTGGTGTCACAAGGAGGCTTCTCTCCCTCCCCGACTCCTACCCCCAGTGTTTTAAGCATCAGTGAATTGAGAATATCTGTCTACATGCCATCCTCTAAGTAATCTGCTATATGAAAACTTCCCACAATATTCTTAACTTGTGTTTTCACTTTTTAAGACAAAGCATCTTTTAGCCTAGGCTGTCTTGAACAGGATCCTGATCATCCTGCCTCTGCCTCCCAAGGGCTGGGATTATTATAGGCATGAACCACAATGCCTGGCATTCTTTTAAAAAAAAGAAGAAAAGAAAAAAAAATCCCTTTTCTTTTTTTTTAATAATTTATTTATTTGTATTTTAGGTACATTGGTGTTCTGCCTGCATGTATGTCTGTGTGAGGGTATTAGATCCCCAGATTCCCCAGAAACAGGAATTATTGACAGTCGTGAGCTGCCATGTGGGTGCTGAAACTTGAATCCAGGTCCTGTGGAAGAGCAGCTAGCACTCCCAACCATTGAGCCATTACTTTATACCCCCCCCCTTTTTTTTTTTGTTTTTTTTCGAGACAGGTTTTCTCTGTGTAACTTTGCCCCTTTCCTGGAACTCACTTTGTAGACCAGGCTAGCCTCCGAACTCACAGAGATCCGCCTGCCTCTGCCTCCCAAGTGCTGGGATTAAAGGCGGCGCCACCACCTCCCGGCCCCTTTTTTCATCAACAACTGTTCTTTAAACTAGCAATGGTGGGAAAGACCTTTAATTGCAGCACTGGAGAGGCAGAGGCAGGAGAATCTCCAAGTTCAAGGCCAGTCTGGTCTACATAGGGAGTTACAGGCCAGCTAGGGATACATAGTGAGGCCTTGTCTCAAAAATTAATAGGGAAAATGTTTTAAAAGGACTGTTATTTGGGGCCATATTCTTTTTATCACTCACTCACATGTAAAATCCTTCTCAAGACTTAGTCCATTTTCTTTATCAAATACACTACAGTTCTACAAATAAGAGTTTATTTCAAATCTGATTAAGTTGACCTCTTTTCAAAATTAAATTTGTTGTAAAAAATAAGTCAAAGGGGTCTGGAGAGATGGCTCAGCAGTTAAAATCACTGACTGCTCTTCCACAGGACCTGGGTTCAATTCCCAGGACCCATATGGCAGATCACAACTGTCTGTAACTCCAGTTCCAGGGGACCAGACCCCTATGGCAACACCAATGCACATAAAATAAAAATAAATATTTTTTTAATAAAAATAAATTTTTTAAGTCTTTAATAAACAAAAGTCAAAAATAATTATAGTCTTGAAATATATTATGTCTAAGGACAGGATAATTTTTCTAAGTCTACATACAGGAAACGGAGTACTTAGTAAGAGGTAGCCTGGCATAAGTATTTAAAAACTGTTCTATAGACCACTCTTCTGGAGAAAGCCATGTCTCTCTTCTCTGTTGATGCCCAGTTTAACCCTTATTCATTTTTTTTTTTAAATTTGGAGAGGTGGTGGTGGTAGACACTTTTAATTCCAGCACTAAGGAGGCAGAGGCAAACAGATCTTTGAGTTCAAGGCCAACCTGGTCTATAGAATGAGTTTCAAGACAGCCAGGGCCATACAAAGAAACCCTGTCTAGGGAAAAAAAAAAAAAAACAACTTTTTTCCTTGCCAAGTATAGTGGCATACTTTGTGTAATTCCAGTACACAGAAGCAGGACTATTAAAAGTTCAAGGCCAGCCTGGTCTACATAGCAAGTTCCAGGACAGCCAGGGCTACACAGAGAGACCTTGTCTAAAAAAAAAAAAAAAAAAAAAAAAAAAAAAAAAAAAAAATTAAAGCAAATTAAAAACTTCATGTGCTAGCAAGATGCCTCTGGAGTTAAGGGCACTTGCCACCAAACCTGATGATGAGTCTGATCCCTAAAATCCACATGATGGAGAGAATGTTGCCCTCTGACCTTCACATGTATGTTTCTGTGTGTGTGTGTGTGTGTGTGTGTGTGTGTGTGTGTGTGTGTCTCCGTGCTCCCTCTACCTCACAAACAAACACAAATACACACACACACACACACACACACACACACACACACACACACACACACACCAAAGAGAGACTATAATGGTCCAATTATCCTTAAATTCACAGATGTCCCCCTGCCTTTCCCTCTGATAGCTGGAATTAAAGGCTTGTACCACCACCACTACACCTAACCATAGCCATATTCTATCCTCAATGTCTCTAGTCCAAGCTAGCTTCAGACTTGCCTTGCCTTAGAGCTGGAATTGCAGGCATTCACTAACCATACCTAGCATATTCTTCTATTCCTACAGAGGCATTCTCAATGAATAACTTAATGCTATAAAGCAAATCTCTGTGATCCTAGCCCTCAGGAGGCTGAGTTGGGAAGATTTCAACTATAAGGCCTTTGAGGGCTACATAGTAAGTTATGAGGCCAACTTGTCTTACATAGCAAGACCATCTCTAAACAGAAACAGGGCCAGCAAGATGGTGCAAGGCACTTGCTGTTAAGCCTGATGAACTGAATTCAACCCCCAGGACCCACATGATGGAAAGAGAGAGCCAACTCCCCAAAGTTATTTTCTGACTTTTACATATGCACTGTAGTACACACACATAAATACACACAAATAAATGCAATTTTAAGTTTTATAATAAATATAAACTTTCTCAGCATAACTTGAGGCTAGTGTAGTTCTAGTCTCAAATCTTGCCTTTATTATGATAATCTTAAGGCTTCGAAAAAGGAACATATTTTTCTTTTGAGGAAGTGGGGTAGGGAGGTAGAAAGGGTCTCTCTATATAGTCCATGCTGGTCTAGACCAACTAACCTTGAATTCACAGAAATCCACCTTCCTCTTCCTCTGAGTGCTAGGATTAAAGACATGCACCACCATCACCACTACCACCACTATATGTGGCCAATGTACTATTTCTAAATCAAAGATTCATACATTATTCTCACTCTAATTTTAATAGTGTGTATACTGAATCTTTTTCGAGACAGGGTTTCTCTGTATAGCTTTGCTCCTTTCCTGGATCTTGCTCTGTAGACCAGGCTGGCCTCCAACTCACAGAGATCCACCTGGCTCTGCCTCCCGAGTGCTGGGATTAAAGACGTGTGCCACCACTGCCCGGCTTGTATACTGAATCTTAATGTTATGAGAACTAGTAGATTGATGGTATATCAGACTAGAGAAACATTTAAATATTACTTAAGCTGGAGGTATTTTTATATGTGAATCTAAGAAAATCTCAGTTTTTCTGAATACAAATATTTTCCTTAATCAACAGCTTAGTATATATATAATATATTATATATAACTATAGCGACAAAAAATATGAGATTCCTGCCTCCAAAGAATGAGATTCCTGCCTCCAAAGAATGTCCCGTTCATCCAACACCTTTCTTTTATATACCAGATACTATTCTAGAAGCCAGGGAATTACCAGTGACAGCCACTTTCTCTCATGAATATTCAATCTACTAGGAATATTAAAGTTAGTATTATAAACCTAGAATTTTTTTCTAAAAGAAAAACAAAACATGGGTCTCACTACTTAGCCCAGGCTGGCCTTGAACTCAAGATCCCCCTGCTCCAGACTTCTAAGTGATGGGATTACCAGCATGAGCCCTTCCTTCTAATAAGTATAGTGTCCAGTACATATAATCATTCATAACCTATTGCTCAGTTAACAGTATAGATACTTTAAAATCTGTGAACCCAAAGAAAGCCCAGAAAATTGCTTTATATTATATGGTTGAGGCTACTAATGTTACAAATATTTTATCTTCTGAGACTGGAAGCCTACTGGTAGTGTTTGCCTATTTTACATAGGGGCTTGGGTTTGAGCCTCACCAATACTCCCATGCATACAAAAATTCTGTCTTAGCCGGGTGGTGGTGGCACACGCCTTTAACCCCAGCACTCTGGGAGGCAGAGCCAGGCGGATCTCTGTGAGTTCAAGGCCAGCCTGGTCTATAGCGTGAGATCCAGGACAGGCACCAAAACTACACAGAGAAACCCTGTCTCGAAAAACAAAAAAAAAAAAAATAGAAAAAAACTAGAGTTGTTCTTTCTGCTTTGTTGAATATAAGCGGAAAATAAGGCAGGAGCTGGGGATGTGGCTTAATTGTGGTGTGCTTCACTAACTGAGAAAAAAGACACAAGGAAGTACTGCACTGACTGGCTTGATTTGGCCCCAAATAAAGGGATTTCTCTGGTAAACTGAAGTCATTCAGTAAGCAATAGATTGCATATTTTGGGAGGTAGATGAACACAGTTGAATTGATATTGGGTATTTTTCTAAGAGGACCTAGGAATCTGAGAATCATGCTTTTCTGAACCCTATCCTCACACACCCAGTTCCTGGAAGCCACATATACAGTTGGAGGAGAGCACAGAGGTACATCTGCTCTTTGCTTCTGCCTACTTTTTACCCACTGACTATCAGCCACAGCCCAGATGTTTTCCACCTGGAAACTGCTGTCCAGAAGTCAGGCTCACCTGTGTTCTCTTGTCCTCCACCCCTTGGTGCAGCTTGCCCAGCCTCCCGTCTCCTGCTTTTTGTCTGCCCTGCTCAGCCCTTTTCACCTTCTCCCCTGTAACTGAGAACACTGAGCCCAGCTCTGTTCCATCGCTCCTGGGGTGTTTTCATTTTAGCCACTGAAGTCATTCACATCTTCCTGCTCTTCCTGACACCACAGCTGCAATAAACGCACCCTTCCCTACCCCACAGGTTGGGTCAGGTGTTTATAATAATAAACTGCATTATTCTTCTATTCCTCATGTCTGACACACTTTAGAAAAATGGTTCCCAACCCTGTGACACTCCAGGATGTACCTAATTAGAGTTGTGAAATGGCTTTTAATCAGAAATTTTAAATTCCTTTTAAGTGGCATAGGGCACTTTGGGGAGGAAGAGGGATGGCATGGTCCAACTAAAAGGGTTAAACTCCTGAAAGTTAGTGTTCAGTGCTTAGCAGTGTAATATCACAGTCACCAAGAGACTCCTCAAGCCTCACTTCAGAATTCCATAACACCTGCACAGACCTCCCTCCACCCCACATCTTCTGCAGGTGAGTGTTCACTCTGCACCTGTGAACACCTACTCAATCTGGTCTCACCCCACATTGCCACAGATCGGCTGCATAATTATGTGGGGCAGTAGAGCACTTAATTGGGAGTCATTGAGTCATGGATCCTTTGAATCCTCCTGCTACCATGCAGCTCTTGACCTGGAGCAAGGCTCTTAATTTATAAGGTTGCTAGATGTAAAAGATCACTAAGGTGGAGTGCATTGCTAAAATGTTCTTTCCTATGACAGTTGCGTTCGATCCTGGAGAAAGCACTAGATTTTTTTTTTCCCTTAGAATAATTGAATTGGCAAAGACTCTGCATTGGTAGCTGTATGACCTCCTTCACCTACCTAATGTTCCATTTTATTCATCTATGAAATGAACAGTTCTACCACTGCTGCTGTACAGAACAAGAGCCAAATAACTTAAGAAAGGCACTCAGGGCCAGTGTTTCTCAATGGCAGGTTTTGTGATCAAGATTGGGGAATCCTGCATGAAACCAATTGATATTTGCTTCTTTCTGGGACTTCTCAAGACTTTAAAACCCTACTGTGAAAAGAAGAATGATTTTCGCATATGAAAGAGGATAATGCAGATGAGTCGTGGATATGATGCAAGTTGTTACATGCGTGCATGAAGAGGTCACAATGAAACCTATTGCTTTGCATAATGACTACATGCTAATAAAAACAGAACAAAACCCTGTTGTGTGTCATGAATCTCCAGGAGGAGACTGCAACTGAAGCTTTTTTTTTCCCCAGTTATGTGACCCTGGAATCTCCTTCCCTGAGGCTCTTCAGGAGTAGAGACTCTGAAATGCTGTTTGGAGTATAGCAGGAAATACCAGAGGAGCCAACATCACCTTTTCCATGAAAACAACTGGAGTTCAGTCGCCTGTCAGTGACTTTCTTTTCCTCATTTATTTTCACAATCAGCTTATGCCTCCACAAAAAAAAAAAAAAAACAAGTGATATTTTCATTGGTGTTGCATTTAGTATATGGATAAATTTTCATGAACTGATATCTTGTTAGTATTGTGTCTAACTTTCCTTTGCAAACTATCTAGGTAAATAATCTTACTACATGATAGTATAGAAATCATACATTTATTTTCTTAGACTTCTAGGTGTTTCTTTTTTTCAGTCATCATTTTTTAACTGATAATTGCTTCTCCAAATTGTGTTTCCTGTTTCTACTTAGCAGTGGGGGGGGGGGGGGGGGGGGGGGGTGTGACACAAATGATTCCAGATGTTAAGCAGACACTCTACCACTGAGCCAAACCCAGCTCCCCAAAGTTGACTTGTGTTTCTAGTAAATTTTCTTCTGGCTAGTGGTCTTGCTAAGTCAGCTACTAACTCAAATTCGTTACCTGTAGATGACTTTAGATTTTCTATGACTAGTCCATCTCTTCTATGAATAATGGCATTCCTTTTTTAATCATATTTGGTCTCTGGTATGGGAGGAATTCTTTGGGAGAGGTTGTTTGGGTTTGGGCTGTTCTGTGAGATATTTATTTTATGGATCTAAGTGTTGGTCTACATGTATGTCTGTGCACCATGTGTGTGCCTGGTGCCCTGAGCATCTGATTCTTGGTACTGGAGTTACAATCCATTGTGAGCCAGCATGGAGTACTGGGAACCAAACCTGGGTCCTTCACAAGCACAGCAAGTGATCTTAACCCTGAGCCATCCCTCCCGCCCTGTTCTCTTTATGAGAAAGTCTCACTGTGTATGCACTTGCTGCTAGTTTTGCACTTGTGATCCTCCTGCCTCCACTTCCTAGGTGCTGAAGTTACCATCCCACTCTAGATTACACCCATTCTCAGTCCTCATCCTCACCATGCTTGTTCCCTTCAAAGAGAAATGATTGTTTGTAGACTTCTGGGGAAGCTTTCAATATTTCGCCACAAAATGTTTGGACTTGGCTTAAGTTGTATTGTTTTGGTTTGTTTTGTTTTGTTTTTTTCCCCTGAGACAAGATCTGACTATATAGCCCATGCTAGCCTTGTCATTAATTTTTTCCTTTATTTTTTATTATTTGTGGGTGTGTGAGTGCACATGAGCATGTGCACGAGATGTATATGTGCATGGATATGTGTATATGATGTGTATGTGCATTCATGGAGGGAGTATGGGTAGGTGGATGGGTGTGTGTGTGTAGGGGTTGGTGCACATATGCCATGACACCTACTTGGAGGCCAGAAAACAAATTTTTTGTTTGTTTGTTTTGTTTATGCCGGGTATTAAGGGCATACACCTTTAATCCCAGCACTCTGGAGGCAGAGGCAGGCGGATCTCTGTGAGTTCAAGGCCAGCCTGGGCTACAGAGTTCCAGGAAAGGCACAAAGCTACACAGAGAAACCCTGTCTGGGGGAAAAAATTTTTGTTTGTTTGTTTGTTTTATTTTTGAGACAAGGCTTCTCTGTGTAGCCCTGGTTGTTCTGGATCTCATTCTGTAGACTAGACTGGCCTCAAACTCAGAAATCTGTCTGCCTCTGGATTAAACACTCATACCACCATACCCAACCAGCAGTGTTGGAGAATGGAAGTGAAATGAAGTCTAAAAGGAAGCAAGCAGAAGGAATATTTGTGTAGATGGTTAACCAAGTTTACCTTCCACATTAAAATACTTGAATTTGCCGGGCATGGTGATGTATGGTTGTTTGTTTGGTTTTTTTTTTTTTTTAAGATTTATTTATTATGTATACAGTGTTCTGTCTGAATATACACCTGCAGGCCAGAAGAGGGTGCCAGATCTCATTACAGATGGTTGTGAGCCACCATGTGGGTGCTGGGAATTGAACTCAGGACCTCTGGAAGAACAACCAGTGCTCTTAACTGCTGAGCCATCTCTCCAGCCCGTGATGTATGCTTTTAATCTCAGCATTCAAGAGGCAGGCAGATCTCTATGAATTAAAGGCCAGCCAGGTCTACATAGTGAGTTCTAGGATAACCAGAGCTACATAGTAAGAGCCTGTTTCAAATAAAATAATAATAATACTTCCAAAAAATAAAAAAATAATACTTCCATTTACAGCTATTTTATATATTACTGCTGTGGTCTTCTGACGTGGTAGAATAGTGTCATCCTTGTAAGCAAGAGATCAGATGGGTAGAGCTTAAGGTAAAAAAAAGTTATTATTCTTGAGCTTCTCTGGGGGTTGCAGCCATTTTGTTGGCTGGCTGGCTGACCCCAGCATGCTGGAATAAACAACATTCTTGCTGATTGCATTAAAAAAAAAAAAAGCCTATGTTACTACTTTTGATATTTAGGGAAAAAAATACTGGAGAGATGTCTCAGTGGTTAAGAGCACTAACTGATCTATTGAAGGACCCGGGTTTGAATCCAGCACCCACATGGCTTAAGGATTTAGGGATGTGTTAGCTCCAGTTTGAAACAGATTCAGACAACTAAAATCTTTTTTTTTTTTTTTTTTGAGAGAAGGTTTTACCATAGCCCACACCAGCCTTATACTTACTTATTATGTGGCCAAGGCTAGCTTCGACTTCTGATCCTCCTGCCTCTGCCTCCTGAATGCTGAGACTGTCATCATGCATCACCCTCTCAAAATTTGATTTTTGGGGTTTCTGAGCAAAAGGAAGAAATTAGGGGTGAAATGGTTTATTATTGTTCTATTTCAGTAAAAAGCAGTGACCAGTGGTGGGAGTGAGTGGGAGCAGAGAAGAGAGGAAGCAAGAAGTGGGCGGGGAGGGGTTGGAAGGAGGGTTGAGAGTCAACCAGGACCAGTACCGCCAATAGCATTGTAGTTAAACATTCGTTCTCGAGTTGTTAACTAGTAGGCGAAGTCTCTACCTTCTGCCTCAATTTCTTAGGGCTAGAATGATGGTTAGTGGGTAAGGTGCTTGCTGTACAAGTGTGAGGGCCTGAGTGTGCATCCCCAGCACCCACTTAAAAGCAGGACTCAGAGGTACACATCTGTAACCCCAGACGTAGGATGAAAATAGACAACCTAGCTGAATAAGTAAACCACAGGTTAAATGAGAGACCCTGTCTCAGAAAATAAGGTGGGGCCAGTCAAACTTGCCTTTAATCGAAGCAGTGTAATAAGGAGGCAGAAGCAGGCAGATCTTTGTGAGTTCCAGGCCAGGCTGGTCTACAGAAGGAATTCCAGGCCAGACAGTACTACATAGTGAGACCCGGTTTTTTTAAAAAAAGTGGAGAGTGTGTGCTGCGCACACACATTTGGAAAGACAAAGTAGACTGTGGTTGGAAAGTAGCACAAAATGATAAATACAGGCCTTGCCTGGAATACTCAAGGTCCTTGGTCTAATCCTCAGCACCAAAAAAAAAAAAGTCATTGCTTCGTAGGCACTGAGAAAGAAATGGGCTCGTAAATGTAAAGAGCCTAGAAGTAGCTTAGCAAGAGTTCAGTTGGTAGAGTGCTTACCCAGCATGCAGGAAGCCCCAGATTTAACCCCCAACACTACATAAAAGCAGGTGTGGTGCTGCATGCCTCTAGTCCCAGCACTGAGGAGCAGAGGCAGGAGGAGCAGGTGTTCAAGGCTAGCCTGGGGACACAGGCCCATCTGAAAAACACAATAATTGCCGGGTGGTGGTGGTGCAGGCCTTTAATCCCATCGCAGGAGGCAGAGCCAGGCGGATCTCTGAGTTCAAGGCCAGCAGCCTAGTCTAAAGAGCAAGATCCAGGACAGGAACCAAAACTACACAGAGGAAACCCTGTCTCAAAAAACAAAAAAAAAAGTCTATGCATTCATTGAGCTTCTACATTTCTGAAGTTATCCACTTACTAAAATGCATGTGTAACCCAAATCAACACGGGGCTTTCGCAGTCATTTGATAAGGGATCCTATACAGAGTATTTTCCCACTGAGGGCTGACAAGAAGGCCTGCTGCTGCTTGCTTCAGCTCTCAGGTGCTAAACCAACAACCCCATCATGCTCTGTGCAGTGCCCATTTGGGGCTTCGTGGTTGTTGGTAGTTTTGCTATTTAACAAGACCCCCAAATGAGTCCTGAGTTCTAGCCAGTTTCCCAAACACGAGGAGACTGTGGTGTGCCCTAGGGATAATACATATGTACATAAAAACTTCTTTGGGGTGTGAGTTGTAGCTGCAGACTGTGTGTTAGGTTTTGTTTGAATTTTTCCATTTTGAAGTGATTGATTGTGAAACATAGTTCTGTGGCTCTAGGCTGGCCTAGAATTCCATCAGGAAGGATGACCTTGAGCTCTCCTACCTCCACTTCCTACATGCTGAGAATACTCTGTGCCACCAGGACCTGACCTTGAGTCAACACTATATATCCAGTGTGGTACCTAAATAGAAACAAACAGAAAACAAGCCTGTAGGTTGGTAGAACTATGGCCAGAAGCTTGTTGGAACCTAGTCTGCACTTCGCTGGGACAGAGGTTGGGGATTTGCTAATGTGGTACCTGCAGTGCTGTAGTAGAGTAACTGCCATGAGCAATGAGAACATGCTGACCAAGCACATGCCTTATTTCTGAGTTCACTGGTGCCATTCTAGTCCTCTCACTGAGAACTGATCTCCTAATATTCTACAAAGTCTCTGTTCCAACTAAACATTTTTTTGTTCTGTCCAGAATCATTTATTTCACTCACTGCCCCTCCCTATTCCGGTCTACCTACATACCATTACGATAGAAATCATAGAAATCGTAAGGATGGGCCCATGACCCAAGGCCTCCATGAAATGCATTGTTAATTCAGACTAAACCAATATAGTCAACCTTTCAACTTCAATTGCTGTTTGTGTGTGGTGATAGGGATTAAACACTACCTTCAACCCCACACACACCCCGAAAGACTTCACATTTGCTAGGCAAATACTTTGCTGTCTTCCCAGCACCCCCAATTTCATTGTCTGTGGTGTACCTCAAGGCTTAGGCTCTCCAGTGCT